GTCTAGGTGAGTGGTCTCTATTGTATTTTATCTAGAAGCTATCTAACTTTGAGTTGCGGTCTAGCTACTTGCTTCGCGCTAGTAAGGCCGTGCCCGCTTGACATCTGTCCGGGACTCTTTGCTGTGGTCAAGTTATCCACCATTCTCTCGCACGTCTGTATACGTGTGTTCGTGTCCCTTCTCCGTGGGCTCAGACTCGCCCTCCTTCTGCTCGCGTTTGTCTTACGCGTGGTTGTGTTTGTCTTGGGCATTGCGCCGCAACAATATCCCGCGGTGTTTTGTCACGAAGGCCGCCCTCCAGGACTCAACCAGCTCAAGGTGCAGATCAAGAGCATGCGACAAAAGCATCCAGCAGAGCAGGATCATAGCGTAGCCAGGATCCGTGCAAAGGCGGAAGTGGCGAAGCCTGGGAAACGTGACGGTCTCGCCCCCTTCGAGGTCTGCGGCGAAGCCTCCAGCAATGTCGATCGTCAAAAATTCAAGCGTGGCCGCGCATATCCTGAGACCGATTGCTAACGACTCCCCAAAAAACACCCTGTGGTAATTCGGACCGAATTGAAGACATAGGGCGGTCATAGTCTTCGAGTAGTAAAAGATGTCGGTGCGGTAAAAGCGACCGGAACGCAGCCCATCGCTCTCGACGGCTGCCATTCTATGCCATTCTCCTAGCTCAACGCGATGCGGGTCTGGATCCACAGACTCCACGTCAATCTCGCGCAGGTGGCTATCTGCACGCCCTGGGTTATTGATAAGGAATCGTCGCAGCTCGGACGTCAACGTCCGATCGAGAAGCCTGATTTTAACGCGCTCGAGAGAAGGGTAGAAGGAGCGGACACCGTGGAGGATGCAGTTGCAAACGTCCAATGCTATCAAGTTGCGAGTCCCGTATTCGACGGTCCGTACTCCGTGTGTCGTTGTAACTTGTTCCCCAGAGTGCCTGGCGATCGCCGCATACAACGTGTTGTCCAGGCTCCAGATCTTGGAACCGTTGGCAAGTAGGACATAGCGCAGCTTTTTCGAGACGTGCGACGCATTATGGGCGGGAGACGGCAGATGAGATGGTAGAACTTTGCCGGACTCTGAGCGTATGCAGTCGGGTCGGTTCCGGAAGCCATTGCAGGATTGGGGCCCCGAGGATGCAGCAGGCGCTGGCCGCGCCGCATCGTATCGCTTCACCCCGACGTAAGGAGCTTGTGCGTCGAAGTGTTCGTGCAGCCAGGTAACCTGAGCTTGGTATACGATGAGAATAACTATCTCGGCTGGCAACTGGTCGAGTTTCGGAGAGGGCGCGAGAATGTCTGTCATGGCAGGAATCAAGGACAGATACAACTCGAACAGCCAGCTTTCTTCTCGATGTGCGGATCAATATCGCATGTGACGCTTCGGGCCTCCGTCGTAATTCCCACCAGCTTGGGAGTCAATAGAGACGCCGACGCCGACTTCGAAGGGCCGCAAGTCAATCGGCGGTTGCCGACGGTCCAGGGAGAATTCTGGGAATTTGATGGATTACGGCTCAATCCAAGACCGGATTCCGGGAGGTTTGGCGAGTGGCACGGCCCGCTGGAATCCCTAATGCTAATGGCGGCAGTACTTAGCGTGAGCGCCGTCGGTGGGTGCCAGGGCTCTCTGAGTCATGACCAGGTGCGTAAGCAGAGACAGCAACAGCAATCGGGGCGGACTGCGTACTGGTATTTCACTACCGGGCGCGCCCACGCAGCCCGACGCCTGATTGTTATGTTATCGACTCTGGCTGTTGTACAGCAAGTACGGCGCCGCCGCACAGAGACCTCTCGCGTGGCAGCCCGCTGCGAGCGTATTGCGCCTGTCCACCTGAGCGATTGCCAACTAGTTGACAATGTTTTTGTTAGTTTCTGTGGACTGATGGGTCAGCGGTTAACGAGTTCATCTCCTAAGACCGTTCGCGGGTTCGATTCCTGAGCTTACCACATGCTGCTGTAAACCACTCTTTTGTCACGAGATTGTCTGCGCATCATGAGCTGTCCGCCAGCGGGCTACATGACGGAAACGGTGGTGAAAATGCCGGGGGCTTCTATGTATTGTCAATGACGGGGTTCGATTAAATGAAATAAAACTTTATTGTGTAAGCAACGCGGTCACGTGATTAACTCCAACGCGCTACTCATGGCCGCTAAAGTGCTTGTTCGCGAGTGGGAAATACACCTTGCAGTGCGCGGCGGAACACCGGCGTCCTTTTTCATAACAGAATATACTGCTACATGCTGCGCTCTCTACCCGGGCTGACTCATCGCATGCTGCAAAGGTTGCAAGCCTCATTCATATAGTACGGAAGTGGTGCAAGACGCGAAGTACAATATACGATGCGGATAGAGACGATACTACGTTGAGACTTTACAAAAAACCATCAGGTCTGGCGATCAACAAACAGAAATACGCGTGGGCGCCGATTGTCCGTGAGATCGGGGTTCGGACCATCCCCGATGTGCAGCACGACTCGTTCGTCAAGATCCATCCGCTCCTGGAACTCCTCCTCGGTCAAGGCGGCTATGCGGGTTATTTCAGCGCCGACGTCTCAAGACTCTGAGCAGCGGCGCACCTTGAACCAGCTTAGTGCCGACGTATTCGGTGTGATCGGGCGCGAGCCACGTCTTCTTGTCGTCGACATCTTCAAGTCGCGCCTCCACGCTGATCAAGACAATCGTTAGTGAATGTTGAGACGTAAGGTGGAAAAGACGGTGACGCACTCGTCGGCGTTGATGACCTTGTTATCGGCCAGGTGCTCGCGCAGCTGCTTCGCTGTCCAAAAGTAAACGACTAACGCCTGCCTGATAGTCAGCGAACATACAGAGGGCGAGGAGAGTTGCCACGCACCAGTTCCTTGTCGGTGACGCGACCGCCGACCACCTCGAAGCCTTTCTGAATGAAGACCGCATGCTCCTCAAAGTTACGGACCGCGACGCTGAGGGTGCCGTAGGAGTTAGCGGCAAAGCGGAACACAGCGAAGTGAAGGGCGCACCAACGGCCGGACGTGATGCGGCGCTCCTGAGCGCGATGGCCGTGGGCGTCCAAGTTGCGCGACAAGACGCGGGTCTTAACCGGGCTGTAATGAGGTCAGCTTGTTTGAGCAAGGTTGCTGCAGCCAGACGGCGCTCACAAGTACTCAGCCAGAGCGCGATCCTTATGGAAGGACTGGAGGGCTGTCATTGTGATGGTGGAAGGCGGGGAAAAGTTGGTCAAGGGCGGTCGGGCAGGCGATCGTGTTTAATATAGGGCGCCGGCCACGTGTGCTTTCCCACCGCCGATTACAGAATCGCCGGCCGATATCGATCGGCGGCCGCGGACCCACAAACCACCGATGGGGGGGTGGTTACTCACGATAACGACGGACCAACAGCGGACCCACGCCGTCTTTGGCAGCGCCGAAACTGACCGCCGACTGTAACCTAGTTCCTGTCTGACGGCCGGCGCTCCTGCGGTGGTACCGCTGTGAGAGAGATACAGTGAGGGTGCAGGGCGCGACAGCGCCGGGAACAGGATGCCCGCGGACCGGCATCCGAGCCACCCTTGTGAGTCATCACGGTGAGCAAACATGCGACGCGTAATCGGCGGTTGGACCGCCGAGTCAGCGCCCACAGGCGGCTGTTCGGCGCCCGGGAGCTTCCATCGCCATCGATAATCGGCGCTGACTCGGCTAAAGATTCTATCAACGGCCCTTCGACGCCGGGATGCGATCAATAGCCGAGTCAGCGCCGATTATCGATGGCGATGGAAGCTCCCGGGCGCCGAACAGCCGCCTGTGGGCGCTG